CTCGGAACCCCGCTCTGCCCAGTGCCATCTGGAGCAGGGCCTTCTCTTCCGAGCAGCTGAGGAGGCTGTTTAGGCGTTGAGGGTCTGGAAGCCGAGCCCCATGGCAGCAGTGGAAGACCCCTGGCCATCTGGACCCCAGCGAGAGGCGGCGGGCTGACTGGACGGAGATGTCCCAGCCTCCTCAGGTTTTGCCTGTGTGCATCGGGCTGCCTGTGGGTTGCCCCTCAGGCCTGGGGAGCCCCCGATCAGAGGCAGACGGTCTGCGCCCCCCGCCCCCCCTGCATCTCGAGAATAAAGCAAGCTGCCTTTTTACTTGGTTGAACCGTGGCCTCCCTGTGTTCATTCTCATCGGGCTGTGTTGTCAGCTTGGGGAGGGAAAGGAAGGGCAGGGTCCTGTCGGTGACCTCCTCTGGGCAGCTGTGCCGCTCTGGGAGGAGAGACATCAGAGTCACTGGAGTCATTCCAGAGGTGACAGAGGGGTGGTGGCCAAATGCAGAAGCCCAACTCTGGGCTGGCCTCAGGCCAAGGCCACGGTCATGTCCATGGACCACGCTGTGGGTGGGGCCTGCCGCTGGCAGGTGGGTGAGGATGAGGGCCGTGGGGTCCCCTTGCCCTCACCTGGCAGGGGCAGGGGGCTGCAAGCCCTGGAAGGCAGATCCCCCTGCATGGGGGATCCCACAGTGCCAGGGAGGCGTCAGGTACAGACAAGGCACCGGGTGAATGTCCCGGCCAGTCAGATGAATCCCAGGTGGCTGCGAGGACTTGCAGTCCTTCAGCAAGCACGTCACGGGGCCTCGCTAAGTGCCAGTGGGGGCGAGGTCTCTCCGCCAACCATGAGGCAGCACCGGCAGCCTGCGTGGGGGTGGCGTCCCCTGGAGTGGCCAGTGCTGCTCTGAAGGAGCTGGAGTGGGCCAGATTCGGGAAAGAAAACGCAGCTAGGGCTCATGTTGACTTCCAAGCATTAAGATCAGGCAGCAAGTCATGACAGGTGTGACGGGGAGAAGAGGCCTGTTGCCGGAAGCCTGGAGTCCCGCTGCTGGGGAGGCTGGTTCCCAAGTGCCCTGGGAGGGAAGCCCCCGCATGCCATACCCGGTGAGCAGGGAAGGAAAAAGTCCACGGGTCGCCCGGAAAGGGAGCGGGCGGGGGTGGCGCTGGAGATGCTGGTTTCCCTTACCATCTCAGGGTCTCTCCAGCTAAGGGCTGGCACACCCAGCTCTTGTGACCAGTACCAACCCCAAGGGCCCGCCCCTGCCACAGAGAGCTGGCTGAAGCTGATAGGACACAAACCGTCCCCTTGGCATCCTTCTCTAGCAGCTGGGGGGCTTCCTTTGATGGCTAGAGGTACCCTATTCTTCCTCCGGTAGGGTGCCCTCTGGCACTCACAGGGTGTGCGCCAAGATGGGCCCAGAGCCTGGAGTCCCTTGGCTGGCTCAGGAGAGCCGGCGCCGGGAAGGCTGGCAGTACTTGGCCACCGGTGCCCTGGAAGGGCAATTTCGCAGGAGTCTCCCTGCTAGGCAGTGGAGCCAGAACCAAAAAGAGCAACCGTGTGGCCGAAAGCCTGCTCCCCACTGCCTGCCCGGCCTCCTGCCCCACACAGGCCGCTGGCAGGACGTGAGGAAAGGTCTCCATCCACTCCTCCAGCAGTGAGGGGTGTGGCTACCGCCCGCCCCGGCGCTCTCCATATCTCAGGAAGCTGGAAACTGAGCTAGTGTGGACAGGGCCAGTGGGCTCTCACCCCCTCTCTGAATCTTCCTGGGAGCCTCCCCATGGCTGGCAGCACCCATGCCAACCCACTTCCCAAGGACTGGGAGTGGGAAGCAGGGCTCCCCTCTGGCCTAGGAGATCTTGTCGCTGCAGACTGCGTGGCAGGCAGGCCTGGGTCGCAAGCTGCCCTCACACCCTCCACTCTGGGCCCTGGCAGTGCCTCAGTGGCTGAGCCTAAGGAAGGGGCATGAGCTGAGGTACTGAGGAACCCCACCCTCCTAGAGAGGTTCCAGCCTTTCTAGAGGATTGTGTCTCTCCAGTAACAGCCAGTGGTGATCCAGGACTTTGCCAGCTGGTTCATCCACCCCTGACACCTTAGAGTAGGCACCGTTATGTCACGGCTGAGCACACTAACTGGGGTCACACAGTGCACAAGGGCTCCCCTAGGACTGGCACCCAGCCCCTGTGGACCCCAGGGCACTCACTACCCACAGGTGGCCTAAGGAGTACCACTCAGCTGGCCAGCGGCCAGCGTGTGCCAACCTAGAAACCAGGTTGGCGTGATGGCTACGGGGTAAGCTGTGCCCTGAGCACGGGCAGGGATGCCCACCTGGCACCCTGAAGGCACAGGGCGCTGCTGGGAAAGGGGTCAATAGGAGGGAGCCATGTGCCCTTCAGAGGGGAGTCCACTTTCCAGACATTCCACGGAAAGAAGAGCACACTGGGAAGCAGCGTGGAGTGGTCAGGGCACAGGTACGGAGGCACCACCCTGGACAGCTGTGGCATATGTCAGCAGGATAGGAGCACTCCCTGCACAGCTGGCAGAACTGGGAAAATGCTCCAGTGTGTGGGCCCTGTAGGGGCCTCCACACCCAGGAACCATTATGAAGACAAGGCTGGCTGGGTTTCTGTGTGCCTCAGGGTGCTGACTGCTGCAGTTGGAGGAAGCTCTGACTGCCAGGGCAGAAGCCATTCCCCCATGGCAAGTGTGTCCTCCGGCCCGAGGCAGGTCAGGAAGGTCAACAGGCCTTTCCCAAGGCTGGCCAGAGGAGGACTGGTCCTCCACAGGAGGCCAGAGGGAGACCTGGCTCTGCCACAGGAAAGAACAGGCAGAGTCTTCTCTGCCAGAGAGGTCATGTGCTGGGAAGCGGAGCGCAACTCGCATGCCCTGGCCCCAAACCACGCAGACAGCCAGGAGAGACACAGAGAGTGGACGCTGGGCACTGTGGGGACCACAGAGGATACTCCCCTGGTTGGGAGGGGTTTGGTCTGGAGCCAGCCACTTCTCTGCTCAGTGCCTTCGCCAACCAGGCAGACGAGGGGCTTCTAGGCCCCCAGTTGTCCCAGGATGGGGAAGGCATCGCAAGCCAGCCAGCAGCCCTGGCTCGCCAATGTGCCTTGTAGTCAGAGACTGTTTATTGTAAAAAGCAAAGGAGGGCTGGGATGCCGCCCTCAGGCCTGGATATGGCTCTTTGCACTGAAGGCCAGGTAGTAGATCACCACGCCAATTGCTGCAGCCAACACCTCGGTGGAGACCCAGGGCCCGTTCCAGGTACCCTGCAAGAAAGGAGATCAAAAGCCAGCTCAGGGAGGGGTGAGTGAGTGGACCGGCCAGTCCCGCTCACCCACCATCAGGGGCATGAAGACACGCCAACCAGTCACGGCCAAGCAGGGGGAGCTGGGGCTGCAGAGGATGAGAAGCTTCGCTGAGCCCCACCCCCCAAAAAGGAAGAGGCACAGTGTGCTTCTGCTCCCCTGGGACCAAACCACTCACCCGATGGTCCACACTGACTGTGAACAGGGGTGGGATGATAGAGATGTCCTCATTATTTCTCTGAGCCTGTGAGGGAGGTGCTGAGGTTAGGGGGTCTAAAGGGGCTGCCCGCGTGGGGTGGGGAGGGGCAGGAGAGGCAGGAATACTGGGTTGAGAGGAACAGGCAAGAGCCAGACAACAGAGGGACAAGAGGGACCAGAGCGCAGGAGGGCTCAGGACTGCTGCCAGTGCCTCCCTGACATGGCCCGTCCTGCTCTCCAGGGAGAGGGGGCTGCAGGGGAAGTGGAGTAGAGGTCGCTGCAGAAATGGGGTGTGCCTTCCTTCCTTTGGGCCTCAGAGGGCTCCAGGCTTACTCACCTTCCTTAGGAGGCTGTAGGACTCCTCATCGAAGAACCTGACCTCATAGGTACCCGCGTGGGCGTTCTTGTGGTCCAGGCTCCAGGACACCTGGGATGATATGTGGAGCAGGGAGTAGGTAGAACAGACACACCAGGGGCTACCCCGCCAGCACCGACGTGGCACCACTACGGGAGTCCCTGAACCCATGAGCCCTGACCCTGATGACTGGGCCACCCCGGGGCTTCAAGTCATGCCCACGAGCAGGCAGCCTCCCCCAGTGGCAGCAAACTCAGTACCCCTCACCTGATAGCGCCCCACATCCTGGCCCCTGGTGACAGGGAACTGTTTTCCACCGACGTCAGCATAGAGAGCCATGTTCTGGGTAAGGGGACAAAGGGAGAGTCACCTTCTCTCCTCTCTGGGTATGGGCAGAGGCCGCTGGCTGGGGCATGGAGGCCAGGCCCAGCTGGGGGCTGCAGTATATCTGGCAGGAGACACCATGCAACGTCCACCGATGCCATCACTGTCTCTCTGAGTCGGTCTTCCCCATGGGAGGGAGCAGGGCCAGGCGCCCCCCATGGCCCGGCCTAACTCGCCACACAGCAAGCCTGTCTACTTGAACAGGGGAGGGATGATGGGATCGTCCTTGTTATTTCTCTGAGCCTGTGAGAGAGGTACTGAGGTCAGGGAGTGCTAGATGAGCTGCCCAAAGGGTATTATACCCCCAAAAGGTCCACCTTCCTTATTTGGGCTTTTGGAAATGCAGGTCAGGGACCAAGGCCAAGACCCCTCAACATTAAACCTAAAAACACACACCCAGACACACTGGCAAAGAGCAACCAGAAGAGGGATGCAGAGGCCTGGGGACTGACGCCCAGCCCTCTCTCACATCACATTCGTCCGAGGAACAGTAGGGTATCTGCCCAACGCCACTGCACCAGACAAAGCAGACAAGGCAGGTCAGGGAAGCGGTGTTTAAACACCTGCTAGGATCTGGCCTTGCCGGGCCCGACCTCTTCCGTACCCTGTGAACCAGAATCCATGTTCTTTCTCTGTCGATGTGGGTCTGCGGGCAGGCTCTGTCAATTACCGGGAGGAGCACACTCCCTGCCCCCTCCTGGCTGAACCCCCACCGCCTCACCTGGACCCTGTTCTTGCACGTCAGGGAGATCTCCACGATGAAGACGGTCTCGGTGGAGATGACAGCGTCGGAAGTGGTGTAGTAGGAAGGGGTGATCTGGGGCTCCACGCAGGCCTCTGCTGTGGGGAGGAGGCAGAAGGGCCAGGTGAGGCCAGCTTGAGTGTGATGGGCTGAGGGCAGAAGGGGCTGCCCAGCGCCCCCTCACCCCCCAATTTTGTGAGCTGAGGATACACGGCAGTGGGGGGCCTTCCTGCCTTCCAGATATGGAGACAGAGCCAAGCGCTGTTAGCAATGCAGCCGGAAGGGAGGCTGGCGGGGGGCAAGGAAGGCAACCGTGGAGGAAGAATGAGAGCAAGCTTGTGTGTATGTTTGAGGTTGGTGGGGCTGGCTTCACTGTATGACTCATGTCGATGCCTGGACCTATGACAGGGAGGTCACCCATCAGCATGCCTCGACCTAGAGCCCCCCAAAGGCCCGAGGGGCCAGGCCAGGCTGAATTCAGAGCCACACGTGGCTTGGACAGTGTGCTGAAGGTGCCCTCAGCAGAGACATCAAGTGGGGTGCAGGCAACGCATAGGGGCTTTCAAGATGAGGGAAAGGGTCTCTGTCTCCAGCCAGTTGACAGAAGGCCAAGACTGGCCCCAGTGTTTCCAGAGGGAGTAATGGGCGAGGGTTTGGACCCAGAAACACAGCCTGTCCCGTTAAACCGGGCAGCTGTGAAATAAAGCGCCCTGCCTTTGCCATCTCCATAACCACAGAGGGCCACAGAAAAGGAAGGGTGTCACCTAAGTCCAGAGAGCACAGAGTAAATGTGCCCCAAGTGGGAAAGCTCCGAGCCAACTGCCCTCTGAGTGCGAGGCCCTGGTAGAGTGGTGGCTTAAGCAGAAGTCAGAGAAGGCGTGGGACTGGACAGCAGGAGGAAAACAGCTGGGAGGGCAGTGGCGGGCAGTTCTCAGGGGCCAGATGCCACAGGCCCTCTGTCCTGCTAAACTGGGCTTTTTTCCTGCGGGCACCGTGGAGCCCCTGAAGGGTTTCTAGCTAGGCTTGTCCTTTGGATGCATCCCTGGCTCCAGCTCAGAGAACTCCTGAGGGGCGGGTGGGCAGGAAGGCCAGTTAGACTGGCGAACCCAGGCAGCAAGGGCACTGGCCTTTAGCCTGACAGAAAAGGGAACGTGCGGAAAGCGGCCCCACCCCATCCAGGACCCCAGACCTAGTGCTGGCTGTTGCTGTCAGCTCCTAAACACACTCTGGACCCGGTTCAACCTCTCAAGGATGTAAATCGATGGGACAGTGGCTCAGCTCTGCTGAGAACCCCGGTAGGAGCACACCAAGGCCTCAGGAAAAGTCAACGGTCTTTTGGCCCGGCCCTGCTCGCCGCCGCTGCTCCCCATCGAACTCGCCCCGTTCTCCTGCTTGTCCCTCTGCCTGCAAGGACCCTGCTCCGTCTCCCCACTTCATTCTCACTTCCAGGCTCCTCTCCGGCAGCCCGGTTTCTCGCCGCGATCGCTCAGCGCTACAGAGCCTACTCCGGCCCGACTCCCCTCCGGGAGCGGCAGCAGGGCCGTGTGTCATCGTCCCTGCTGGCGCTGGGGGACGGACGCCCGGTGGAGGCTCGGGGCTCCTTTTCGCCGGAGCAGACGGGAAGCCACGTGGCTGCGTCCTCCAGCAGCCTGGCTGCTAGGGGACCGTGTGTGAGGTGCGAGGTCACCTGCCTCTCGGAGGGAGGCCCGGCCGCCGCGACGGGTCCCGAGAAGGGCCAGACCCCCGCGTCGCCCGCACCCGCCCTCCCCCCAGCGCCGTCAGCCGTTGGACAGAGGCTCGTCCGAAATGGGCTTCGGCCGGGCCGCTACCTGAGCAGCTGGAGAGGCCGGCCAGCAGGAGCAGGGCTAGGGTGCCCGGAGAGGCCATCGGCGCCATCGCTTCTTCTCGGCTGAGGGAAGAAGAGAGCGCGCTGCCTTGGACACGAGGGGCAGACGAGGAAGCGCGACGCGTAAGCAGCAGCGGCAGCCAATCGAGCGCCGGCAGGCCGGGCGGGCTTGGTGACATCGCTGGCGGCAATGACGTGTCCCCTCCCCGAGCCAGGGGCCCAGCGGGCCGGGTCCCGCCCCAAGATGGCGGCGTCGCCGTCCAGGCCCCGGAAGGGGGCGTGGGAATCAGCGCGGCCGCGCGCGTGCGCAACGCCCGCCCAGCGCCTGCCCCTAGGACTTCTCGCCCCTCCGAACTCTCGCGAGAGCGGTGTCTGCGTGTCCGAACATGCTGCAGCTCTCACTTTCCGTCATGGCACTGAAGGTGGCGACGGCCGCCCCCGGCGCTGCGAAGGCAATGCTCAGGCCGGCCTTCCTCGGCCG